CCACCTCCGGTTGTAGTAGAAGGTTTTCAAAGTGCTGTTGACCTGAGCAAGCTTCTAACTGAGGCTGGTATTACCTTCACTATGAAAATCATAAACAGTGAAGTTATAAAAATTAATACAGCCAATAGCGATCATTACAGAGCTTTAATAGACACATTAAATACGAGTTACCTTTCGTACCACACTTATGAAAATAAGCAAGAGAGACCAATTAGAGTTGTTGTTAAGAAATTACATCACACATGGCCACCAGAGGAAATAGTAAAAGACCTACAAAAACGACAATATAAAGCCATTAAAGCTGACAAGAAATTCAAATGGAAAACTAAAAAACCACTAGATATGTTCATCCTAAGATTTAGACAAGATGAAGATATAAATAGAATTTACGGCATAACAGACATACTTAGTACGAGAGTTGAAATCGAGCCATTAAGGAGTTCCAGATTAGTCCCACAATGTAAAAGATGCCAGGCTTACGGACACACGTGGAAATACTGTAAAAAGGAGCCAAGATGTGTAAAATGTATTGGTAAACACCTTACTAAAGATTGCCAAAAAACACCAGAAGATAAACCAAAATGTGTTCATTGTGGAGAAAACCATCCCTCAAACTACCGCGGATGTTATGTAGCTAAAAAATTACAAACAATAAGAAACGAGAGAACAAACAAAAACAATGTTATAAAAGCACCCCATAGAGTTATTGAAAGCAAAAAACTAAAAACGGCAGAGGTCAGTGAAAATAGAAGTTACAGCGATGTAACAAAGAATGCAAGGAGACATGCATCATCGCAACAAGAAAAAAAACTGATATTACATTAAAAATGATATTGGAAAAGCTCACCAAGATTGATGACAAAATAACTCAAATCGATATCAGAGTTAACCGACTAGAGCATAGCGCTAAAGGAGCTATTCCGAAAATCAGAAATGGCTACTAAAGACCTCCGAATAATGGCGTGGAACGCAAATGGACTGTTACAACATCAGATCGAGTTGCAAGCAGTACTAGATATTGAGAAAATTGATCTGTGTCTCGTTTCTGAAACACACTTCACTAAACAGTCATATGTTAAATTTAGGGGGTATAGAGTATATTCTACTGTACACCCAGATAATGCAGCTAAAGGAGGAAGCGCTATTACAATTAAAGATAACATCTTGCATCATGAGGAATTAAAATATGCAACTGAGCACATACAAGCTAACAGTCTGTGTGAAGATGAAAACACATACCTTAAATAGAAGTTCAATATATTGTCCTCCTAGACACTCCATTAAAAGAGAGCAATATAAAGAGTTTATGAACACTTTAGGAAAAAGATACATCATTAGTGGCGACTTTAATGCAAAAAATACCCACTGGGGCTCTAGGCTAACTACAACTAAAGGAAAAGAACTATTGTCAGCTGTTAAGGAACAAAAGGGTGAAGTAATCTCTACTGGTAGACCAACATACTGGCCTACCGATAGGAACAAAATTCCAGACCTGATAGATTTCTTTATTTACAAAAATATCTCAGCTAACTATCTGGATATCAATGACGGCTGGGACATGAACTCTGATCACTCACCGATAATTCTAACTATGAGTGATACAGTGATTAAAAAAGAGTTCAATCCAATATTGACTAATAAAAAAACTGACTGGGAGAGCTTCAAAATAAACCTTGAACACAAAATTAATCTTGCTGTTCCATTAAGAAACACGAGGCAACTTGATGACGAATTAGAAGTTTTTATAAAAAATATCCAACAGTCAGCTTGGGAAAATACTCCCACAATAACTTCTAGAACAAAAGGGAACAACTATCCAAAAGAAATCAGAGAACTCATAGTAGAAAAAAGGAAGTTAAGAAAAAAATGGCAGCAATACAGAGCTCCACGAGACAAAACTAGTCTAAATAATGCTACACAAAAACTAAAAAGGGAGATACAGAATATAAAAAATTCAACAATTAATTATTTTTTAAGTAATTTAACAGCTGACCAGAACACAGATTATTCTTTATGGAAGGCAACAAAAAGATTGAAGAGACCAATTATTCATTCCCCTCCTATCAAGTTGGAAAACGGCAACTGGGCTAGAAGTAACGAACAGAAAGCAGAACGATTTGCAGATCATTTAGAAAGCACGTTCAAACCCAACGACAATGATAGTGAAGAACTGAGATGGGAAGAACCATTCCAAACTGACGAAAGAATAACATTGACATCACTTAGAGAAGTATCAACAGAGATAAAAGAGAATATAAATCCTAAGAAAGCTCCAGGATATGATCTCATAACAGGAGAATTATTAAAAAATCTACCAAGAAAAGCCATAGTTAAGCTGACACACCTAATAAATGCTGCTTTTAGATTGAGATATGTTCCCAGACTCTGGAAAGTAGCCGAAGTAATTATGATCGCCAAACCAGGTAAATCTCCTAATGAAGTGACATCCTATCGACCAATATCCCTCCTTCCGGTGATGTCAAAACTATTTGAAAAACTTCTATTAAAAAGATTAAAACCAATAATAGAAAGAAAAAATCTTATACCAAATCATCAATTTGGTTTCAGAAATCAACATTCCACTATAGATCAAGTTCACAGAATAACGAATATAATAGAAAAAACATTAGAAGAAAATAAAGTCTGCTCTACAATCTTCTTGGATGTAGCACAGGCGTTTGATAAAGTCTGGCATGACGGTTTAAACTATAAACTAAGAACGTTCATGCCTAAACAGTATTCAGAAATCTTGAAATCATACATTGCGAATAGATATTTCAGAGTAAAACAAGAAGAAGTGTACACCGACTTAAGGGAGATCAAAGCTGGCGTGCCACAAGGAAGTGTCTTAGGTCCGGTCCTGTACCTATTGTATACGTGTGACATTCCAGAGCTAGAACAAAATACTATTGCCACCTTCGCGGATGATACAGCCATACTAGCGATAGGAGACACTAGTGAAGAAGCGACTGATAAATTGCAACTATCAGTAAATAAAATACATAACTGGACCAGAAAATGGCGAATAAAATTAAATGAGACTAAATCTGCACACATTAACTTTACAAATAAAAAAATAGAAAATTTCCCAGTTAGAATAAATGATACCCGAATTCCTTATGCAACATCAGCAAAATACTTGGGCATCACCCTAGACGCGAAGCTGCGCTGGAAAGTCCATGTCAAAAAGAAAAGAGGGGAGCTTGATATTAGATATAAGAAATTGTATTGGCTGATTGGAAAAAATTCAACATTGTCAATTCATAATAAATTATCCATCTACAAGCAAGTACTGAGGCCAGTATGGGTATATGGGTGCCAACTCTGGGGCTGTACCAAAGCTAGTAATCTACTTATTATCCAGAGATTTCAAAATAAAGTACTGAGAAACATTGTTGATGCTCCTTGGTATATCCGTAACAGCAACCTCCACCAGGACCTGGGTATGGAAACTGTGATCGAAATAATCAAGAGAACAGCAGCAAGTCACGAGCAGAGGCTGCATAGTCATGTGAATGTCGAGGCAATCCAGCTTCTTGACAACACTGAACTAAAGAGAAGACTCATAAGGACAAAACCATTTGAGCTAGTGTAAATGTGTAACAGTTTAGTGTAAAAAGCAGAGTATAGTGCTGTGAAGTTATTGCATGCTAGTTGTAGTGCATTAGTTAATAGATAAAATAAGAGTAAGCCATAGGTAAGCCCTTAGATTTAAGTATTTGCTGTTATTATGTTAGGTCAGAAAATAACTGATAATTGGTCATTTGTGACCAGACCAACACCTACCCACCTGCAGCTTATTTTATCTATTCTGAAAACTTTTGTCTCTTCACCATTATGAGTATATTCACCTAATAAGTCCTTTTTAAGTAAAAGGAGTTTATACAAAATGCACCCTGAGAGAGAGGGACCTCTATGTGCTTAAGATAATATACACATCTAAAATTTAGTGAAATATGCTGAAAATCACACTTGTTAAAAGAGGTCAACCTGCAAAACGCTAGAAAGAGTAGTAGTTGACTAAATTGATGAATTAGAAAACAGTAAAAGCTAAACAAAACTAATAAATTATAGCACACAGATTAATTATTAAAAATATGTACTAAAAATTATTTCAAAAGTACAATAAATGTATTCCCATAATATCACACCCAAACAGACCTTTTAAAATATACTGTTACGATTTTAAATGTTATGGCATATAGAACTGTAAATATTTTATGACTAATCCTTTTTTATTGATTCTCGTAATTTGTAGGTCAAAATCTACCTGAGCTTCGATACCAGTTATTTACAGAAATATCTAGACCCTAATTTTAGTGAGTCATCCACGACTCGAAGTTGAAAAAGAACTAGTCTCAGCGGTTAATTGCCTTCGCCGAAAAAACCAGTATATTCCATGGAGTTCTTTGCAAAAGTAGGTCACCGAACTTTCCAGATAGCGGAAGTTTCTTTATATATAAAGACAAATAAATTAGAACTATATAAATATACAACAATACCATGTTTTAAAATCAACTCAAAAATGATGGTTAAGGGTTACAGAAATAACTTCAGTAATTAGTATGGAAGAATGAAATACTACTGAACAGTAAATAAAAAGCATTAAATAGAATACAAAATACATAAATTCTTGTTTCAAAAGGTGTAAAACATTTAGAGAAATTATAATAAACATTTGAAACATATTTCAACTTCAGTTGTTGTATTTAGACAACAATATTTTTTTATCTAAAAGTCAAAAGATCAAATAAAGAATTTATTTTTTTCAATTGATGAGATTATTCCTCAATGATCGATAAAACTGATATGCAAAGGTTAACAACTTTTTGAATACTTAAAAAAAAAGTTTTAGAAGAAAAAAGAAAATCTTTTGACATACATCTATAAACTAATCTCTGAAGTATAATATGATACATTACGCGAGCATAAACGATTTTGATTCCGTTTTATTCAACATCTGAGTGAATTTATGTTAGAGGTTAATGTATTTTAATTACTTGTCTAGCTCTGCCATTGTACTGCACTTTATGATTCTGTAAAATCTGTCTAGCTCTTGAATCAGGTTGTTTTCCAATATGCCAAGAACCTATAGCAGCACTATCAATAATCCAATCTTTTGCAATACCTTTTTCATTAACTAGGTGTTGAAATACTGCCTCTGCAATGGGAGACCTACAAATGTTACCTAAAATTATATCAGATAATTATTTAAACACTTCACAATATTGATGTACACCACCTAAACATATAAACAGAACTTTTTGAACCATTTGGATTTGATATAACTTTGTATAAAAATGTTTAAAATTAATAAGGTCTGCATAAGTTAATTTCAGCTACTGATGGAGTAAATACACCGACAGTGACAAGTACACAAGTTGACAGTCTGACAGAGTTGACACATCAGACAACGTCAAACTCTTCTTCAAATTAATATTTCGGTGTACACTAAAAAGTCACGCTTGGATAAATACACATTCATAACAGAGCTCTTCACACAGAACGCATAATTAAAATTGTTCTGTGTTTTAATTTTTATTTGATATTAGAAAATGAATAATTTTATATTCTATGTAATGAATAATTTTAGATTTTCCATGTATATAAATTAAATGTCCCTAATTTCCATTAAAATCTATAATATACTGCCAAATGTCACTCACACTCGTGTATAAAAGAAGTGCGCAATATTTCAAAATTGTGTTAATAGTTAATATATGTTGTGATATAATTGCCAAAATTCCAGTTATACATGTTTTTTGAGCTATAAATAATTCCTAAATTTAGCTAGAGATTTTTAAAAATCAGAAAAATAATTAATTTATTTGTTAAAGTTATAAAACGCAGTGAGCTTTCTTTTATTTTGACATTGTATTGACTAGTGAGCAGTTGAGTCATATCATCGATTATTTTGTTAGACAACAAGAAAAAGGAAAACCAAGAAGACACGTAGATTTGTTGCTAATCGAAGTTGTGTTTTGTAAATTTCAGTATTTAAATAAGTGCGATGAAGTTTCAATATAAAGAAGAACATCCTTTTGAAAAGAGGAAGTCTGAGGGAGAGAAAATCAGGAGAAAATATCCAGACAGAGTCCCTGTAAGTATATCAAAAACATTAATTTTGACATTTGTCATGGAAAAAATTAGTTTATTCAATAATATACTGATGGAAACTATAAATAATATTGTCTCTCCTTAAAGTATTTTTAGATTTATTAATTATTAGTTTTCAAGGATTTTTTGTAAGGCATTAGTAATTTTTGGCAAGAGAAAATATGTATTTACGTTCTTTAAAAATATGGCGTTCCAAGGTCATTTGATTTCTTTGTGTATATTTTTATTATTTTTGCGTAATTCGAAAATATTTAAGTATACGTAAACCAGAGAAACGCAATTTCTCGATTAGAGGAACACCAATTATTATTTTTCAAATCGCAACATCTAACATTAAATGATCTATTTTACTGTTCATGTGCAGATATTATGTTTCTGAAGGATCAGAATATTGATGAAATATTGTCAACATTAGTAGTTTGATTTTGTATTAAGTGTTGAAAAATGAATTATTCTGCTGTGAGGTGTATTAGCGCATGTTTTTTTTTTAAATGGGATGTAATTTATTACCACTATTGATGGTAACAAATAGTAATATAGAGTCTCTAGATGTCTCTATATTATATATAGAGACATATAGAGGTATATAGTAATATAGAGACATATTATGTACATCACTTGCATATTTAAAATAGCCTAATGGTTTCAAAAATTGCTTTTGCTTTGTTGTAATTTATCCAGTTTCTGTATAGTTGTAGTGTTATTACATTTTTGATTTGTGTGTAGAAAATGTTACTTTCACTTAAATGTCCCCAATAAATGTGAGGTGTTATGAATAATAATTAGGCAAAGATGTTCTATACTCCATCAAATACAAATTAAATGAATCATATGCATGATTGTGATCTGTTTATTCTATCATTTAGCTGCACCTATGAGTATTACTAAGAAGCATGTCAGTAGAGGATTTATTTTTTATTTAGTGTATGGCATATCAAGAACACATAAAGCAATATTATAAAAAAAATCCCTATATCCTTATCCTTAAATGGAGTATTTACAATGAACATCTAATTCCTATGTCAATATAATCTAAAACATTTTCAGTCACATTCAGGAATTCCATCTTCTTAGTTTTCTTGCTGTACTGTCAATATTTTACCCTCCTTATCTCTGCACTTCTTTTGTTTGAATTATTTTCTGTGGTTCTTCAGTTTCTAGTAAAATTTTTTTGTGCTTATTGGCTTACTTAGTTCTTGAAGTTCTTTGTTCCTATTTTTCTCTTCTTTTCTTGTTTATGTAGTTTTTAGATACCTCCTTTGCTTTATTTATTTATTAACAGGATAACCCCAATAACAGTAAAAATACAATAATACAGAAATAATAAACTTATGTAAGTACAAGACACCTCTTAAATCTACTCAAACTGGTGTTAAATAGGTCTACATCTTAGTTATTCTACAATCCGTTGAGTTTACTGAAAGTACAAGCTGATTATAGCCGGAATCAAATGTCAAACATGAGAAATGTCAAACACGGAACAAAAAATTTCGGTATAGTAGTGTTGGCATGTTTTTACAATGTAGATGCTGTATGCTTCAAATATAAAAATATAAAGCTTTAGAAAAGTACATTTTGTTTATATTAGTTTATGCATTATGCAATTTTTGATTTATATAAAATAACAATGAGTAAATATTTGTTTCTTTGGAGATTATTTGCTGTTAATTATTAAAAAATTTTTTAGCAATTACCCTTTGGTAGATTAGGGGATAGATTTGGAAATCGTCAAATCAGCAGTGGCTATATTACAACAGATGTTCACAATTAATCTCGAAACAGGCAAATATCTACTCGTTACTGCTTCATATAAATTAAAAATTGCAGAATTCATAAAATAATATAATCAAAATGTACTTTTTAAAAGCTTTAACTCTTAATATTTGAAGCATACAATATACGCATTATAAAAATATGTCAACACTGCCAAGCCGAAATATTTTTGACTTTTGTGGCTATATTCAGCTTGTACTTTTGGTAAAATCAACCCTACAATCTCATATATGTGTGTAACAAATTGTTACTACTAGATGATGTTTGATTTATAATTTTAAAAATAAAAGCAGCACCTGAAATATCCCATCTAATACTAAGTGGTGGTAATCCTAGTAGTTGCTCGATATTATTATAATCATAGTTAACAGCTGCTTGTAGGCTTCTGTGCCCCTATTGCATCAGTAAATATGTTATGTTTTTTCTTTCTGTTATCATCTGACATTCTTCATCGAAACAGTCATTAGTTCCTATTCTTTTTTGTTTATCTTTCATGCCTAGTAATTCTTCATCTGCTTCTTTCATGATGTTTCTGCACTCTTCCCACTCTTCATTTATATTTTCATGTTTTAGTCTGTTGTAGTTTGATGTTTATATTTTGTTTATGTTCTCTGTTTTTGTATATTCTAATATATTATTACAGGTCTGATGAATCTTATTGCAAGCAAATATTCTACAATCAGCGAATTAAGTATACTGTAATGTGATCTATCATATTTACTGTCAGTCTGTCTGGATGATTTCTAGGTGTCTTTGTGTAAATATTTCCTAGCAAAGTTAAAATTATACAATCAATTAAAAAAACTGCTATGAAAAAAAGAAGACATTTTTGAAACCACAGCATCAAAACTATTTAAAATTCGTTATTTCCCAAGCACATTTAGTTTATAGAGTATATTTACAAAATTATAAAAATATCACCACTTCAGTATGTACACATATACACAAAGTTGTTTAATATCTCCATCCTTCTTTCTTCTTTGGTTGCAAAGTTTTCAAAGACTTTATTATTAAAATTATAAATGTCATTTACAAAATGTTTTTCTATAGATAATATACCTAAAGCATTAAATTGTTCTTCCTTCAATGTATTTCTAAGGAATGTTTTAATTCCTTTTAGCATCAAAAAGAGAGTTCTGCTTTAGATGTTGACATAGGAAATGTAATTTAAATACTCAAAAGCTTAATAGTTTCTGCAAATGTACATTATGTACAAATGTCCATAGCTGCAATGAGGTCTTTTCTATTTTCATGAACAGTATGAACTACACGTGATTGAAAATTCCAATGTGTTTGGGAAGATTTTGGCAACCTGCAATTAACCACCTCATCCTAATTGTTTGTTCGTTGAGGAGACATAGAAAATGATGAGCAAAAACTAGATAATTTAGAAAACAATATCCTATCCTGCTTACTGATAAAAAATGCAGTTGTCAATTAAATTTGTTTGTTGTACATAGCAATGAACGTAATAAGCAAGAGAATATGTTTCCTTAATAATTTTTGAACACCATACAATCCACCACTCATAACAGATGCGTAATCACAACTTTTAGCAATTAATTTGTTCAGAGTATGTTTTAATAAGGATAAAAAGGTATTTAGCGATTGATTTGGCATCATGTCTGTCCAGCACATAAAATCTCCAAAATCTCTCACCTGGTCATCCTTTACACACATATAAAAAAACTATAACAACTGAAATTCACCAGCAAAGTCTGTAGTTTCATCGGCCATCACTGTAACACAAGACAAATTTTTAATTTCTTTCCTAATTTCCTTGTGGTAAACATCTAATATTCACTCAATGAGTTCATTTTGGGTTGTTTTTGAGGTGTACCTTTAACATTTGAAACTTTGAATATGCACCTTTAAGTTGTTGTCTGATTTGGTATTAAAATTGACCAGCTCCTTAAATATGCCACTATTTTCTGAATCTTCCTTTTCGTCACGACCTCTTAAGACTAACTCCAAAGCTCTACAAAACCTTATACAATTTATAATTTGATTCAAAACATATTGATTCTTATCCACTTGCTCATTGTGTTTAATTAGAGTATCACAACAAGCTAAATTTAACTACTGGGTTTTTATATTTTTTAAATCACCAAGCATTGAAAACCTAAAAACATTATTTATGTGCACTTTAGATTTTTCATGGGATTTTATTTTATCCCAAATATGAACAAGATCATCAGTGCCTTTGTTTGACCAAGTCTCGTTACCTCCAAACAAAGCACATACAAAACAAAACAGTTTATTAGTTTGTTCGCAAACACACAACCACATATTTTTATCATAAATAGTATTATTAAATTTATGACAGCAAAGTTTTTCTCCACTTTCACTTTGTTTTTTAATTTTTAAATCGGGTATAGGCCGACCTAGTTCTTTAATTTGTAGTTTTTTTTTTTCTAAAGAGAAACCAATAAAAGAGTTTTTTTAAGGTACTAATTTGACTCATTGTCAATTAATAATTTAAACCTACAAAATAATAAAAATACCATTTATAAACTATATTTACTCACGACCACGACGCACTAAATGTTTAATTATAAATACAAAAACTTAGTAATAGATAATAGACATAATAAAGGCGACAAACGATCACGTAAAGAAACTCGAAAAAAATAGGTATCATCTTATGATCTACTGGTAGATCTTCCTTCTTGAGCTCGGCACAAAGATTCTCATTTAACATATTATTAAAAGTCCAATATAGCTCTCTCTGTGTCACTTACATATAATGCTCATAAAATCTTTCTCTTTTCATATGTGCCAGTATGATAAGGGCACAAGATTATCCCATTAAATAACTTCTGCTGTTGGTAGCGGAAGTTGTATTACACACACAGTTGCCAGATTTTATATAATTTATGTAGATAAAAAGACATACACACAAAAAATTAATAGGCGTTAAGACATTTTGAAGATAAAAAATATGTTTCTGTCTGCATAAAAATAAGGTCATAATACCATGGCTCTATGGACTACTTCACGGGCCACCAATGTCATCAAATTATGGTTCCTGTGAAGTCATTAAGTCATGTATTTTGTAATAATACCCTCAAAAAGCTTTGGAATGCAACTAAAGTTACATAAATATGGTTATTTAATTGCATATATCAGCTCTGTTACTAGAGTTACAAATTAGTGGCAAGTAACTTATCTTAATAAGTCAGGAAAACACCTGATTTAAGAGACTCGTTA